CAGTCAATCATGTTAATTGTTTTGTGAAAATAGTGTTTTCAGGAAAAGAGCTTTATATATGTGTAGTGAGGTATATGTATTTTTCTGTGATTTTTTTCTCAAGATACTGGAATTCTTTAGGAAGACTTAGGAAAGGATTCTTCAGGACATTTCGTTATTTTGCATTTAGAACTGTTTTCTTTTTTCAAAGTGAAAAAAATTAAAACATGATTTTGTAAATTTGTTATCTATATAACAGTTTCATACATATTGCATTTGTAATGTCTTACTTTTTAGCTCACCTGAGCCGAAGGCTCAAGTGAGCTTTTCTGATCACATTTTGTCTGTAGTCCGTCTGTCCGTCTGTAAACTTTTCACATTTTCGACTTCTTCTCAAGAACCACTGGGCCAATTTCAACCAAACTTGCCACAAAGTATCCTTGGGTAAAGGGGATTCAAGTTTGTTCAAATGAAGGGCCACGCCCTCTTCCAAGGGGAGATAATTAAGAATTCGTGAAAAATTAATGGCATCATTAAAAAATCTTCTTCTCAAGAACCACTGTGCTTGAAAACATGAAACTTATGTGGAAGCATCCTCAGGTAGTGTAGATTCAAGTTTGTTCAAATCATGACCCCCGGGGATAGGGTGGGGCCGCAATGGGCGATCGAAGTTTTACATAGGAAATATACAGGAAAAATCTTTAAAAATCTTCTTCTCAAGAACAGCAAAGCCATAATTGGTCATATTTATATGGTAGCATCCTCAGATAGTGTACATTCAAGTTTGTTCAAATCATGACCCCCGGGGGTCGGGTGGGGCCACAATGGGAGATCAAAGTTTTACATAGGAATATATAGGAAAAATCTTCAAAAATCTTCTTCTCAAGAACAGCAAAGCCATGATTGGTCATATTTACTTGGAAGCATCCTCAGGTAGTGTAGATTCAAGTTTGTTCAAATCATGACCCCCGGGGGTAGGGTGGGGCCACAATGGGCGATCAAAGTTTTACATAGGAATATATAGGAAAAATCTTTAAAAATCTTCTTCTCAAGAACAACAAAGCCATAATTGGTCATATTTACATGGAAGCATCCTCAGGTAGTGTAGATTCAATTTTTTTCAAATCATGACCCCCGGGGGTCGGGTGGGACCACAATGGGCGATCAAAGTTTTACATAGGAATATATAGGAAAAATCTTTAAAAATCTTCTTCTCAAGAACAGCAAAGCCATGATTGGTCATATTTATATGGTAGCATCCTCAGATAGTGTACATTCAAATTTGTTCAAATCATGACCCCCGGGGATCGGGTGGGGCCACAATGGGCGATCAAAGTTTTACATAGGAACACATAGTAAAAATCTTCTTCTCAAGAACAGCAAAGCCATGATTGGTCATATTTATATGGTAGCATCCTCAGATAGTGTACATACAAATTTCTTCGAATCAGGACCCCCGGGGGTAGGGTGGGGCCACAATGGGCGATCAAAGTTTTACATTGGAACACATAGTAGAAATCTTTAAAAAAAAAACAATTTGTTAAGAATAGCAAAGCCATGATTGGTCATATTTATATGGAAGCATTCTTAGATAGTGTACATTCAAGTTTGTTCAAACATGACCCCTGGGGATCGGGTGGGGCCACAATGGGTGATCAAAGTTTTACATAGGAATACATAGGTTAAATCTTTAAAAATCTTCTACTCGAGAACAGCAAAGCCATGATTGGTCATATTTAAATGGAAGCATCCTCAGATAATGTAGATTCAAATTTGTTCAATTCCTGACACCCCCCCCCCCCCAACCACTTTTATATTTAAACTTTTCAACCTTTCAAGATTGAAATGATTTCTGCTTTTTCCTAGCCATAGTGCTCAGGTGAGCGATGTGGCCCCTGGGCCTCTTGTTGTTTAAATGTCGTAAATGTTTGCATGGTCAGTCATATAACAGTATATATATATATATATATATATATATATATATATATATATATATATATATATATATATATATATAATGGCAGCATTTCTGCGCTATATAAAACCCCGTTTTACCGCCATCCATCGCCTATCGCCGTCCGCTACTGTATATTTCAGGTACAATTCTGTCAATTTTGGTTATTATCACCCCCAATGATTACTACCAATAAGGAGACTTTTTTGACTATCGGATCGGTAGATCTGCGGTGTACATATAACAAAATTTAACGACAATCATTAATTTCAGAATATATATATTTTTTATAAAATAATAATGGATGCATAGATATTTAAACTGTCAGATTACATTTAATACTCTAAAGTGACGTAAAAATTAAGTAGTGCATGTGCCTCACTATTAAGCATGTTAAGTATATATTTCACAGGTGTCATGTGCAACGGAGCGTAACCAATCCATGTTGGGTAAATTCACGAGATAATCAAGCCATGCTGTGTTTACAAGCAGCAGTTGGGATTTTTACATAGTGTCCAAGTTCCTAGGTGTGAAAAACTGAATAATATATCCACATAGTTTTGAAAACACGGGCGCCGGACAAGCATTCTGATAAGCAAGTGTAATGTATTTTGTGGGTTCGACCACGGATGAAGTATAGATAAAGAATTTTCCTTTACGTTACTTGACGTATTCAGCTGATTGGATTCAATATAATAACAAACACAATCAATAATAATCAACAACACTATGATTTAAACTGATTCTCTATTTTATTATAATTTTCCATAACTTGTTATCTCCTAGTCTACGTACTAATCCCCTGGTCTGACACTATGTTTGAGCACTAGCTCCCAGACCTATAGTTTCGAACACCGGGATTCAAACACCCGTTTATAATATAGCAATTTACTCTGATTTAGTAACCTGTAAGGATTCATGTAGCTCAAATGGTCCGTATGCAGCAGTTTGATACACCGCAAATGAGCTAACACAAATACCTTACCTTGTCCGTAACACGTCCTTCTTCTTCTACGGCTTCTCAATAACTGAACACCGAGACTTGAATGAGCCCGCTTATAAGCGCTTATAAGCTTATAAATATATAAATATACTTTATCAAGATCTGCTGAGTCAGATCTTGTTCTTCTAAACGTTTGAAACAATGCCTGGACATAGGAGATAACTTCTGATCGCTAAGACTAAATTTAACCCTGATTATATAATTATTAACTCGATCAAAGGAATTTCACTACACAAGTTTTGATAAGTGTATCGATATTTTCAGTCTAAGGATTTTGTATCAGAAAACGAAAGAAAAAGTGAGCAAGCTCACATACCCCACGTTCCCCCAAACTTTACAATGCAACACATAATAAATGGCACGGTGCACTTTAAATAATCAGTATATCTCAAAATTTCATGCATATAAGGACATCCACATCTTTGTCTTTTACACATTTAATTGGGCTTAAGTTTCTAGATAAATAATGGAATAAAAATTTCTTGGTCATATACAAATCTACACATTATGTCTGAAATACCTACAAAGTTTCAGGAAATTCAGTGCAGGAAATATGCTGAAAAACTATTATTTAAATTCCTCAGTGATTTCGATTTGTTAATGAGTGTAAGTCCATGTCCAACATAGACGTCGGAAGCAAATTTAAAGGGGGGGGGACTAATTGAAAGTGAAAAAAAAGTGGGGGACTAAACCTACACCCAATGTTAAATGCCTATATTATGTCTATCTTGGCAAAAAAAAAAAGTGGGGGGCTAAGCCCCCCCCCCCCCCCGGTTCCGACGCCTATGTCCAACGTATGACAATTTACACATTTAAATAATTGATGGAAACAAAATTATGATGTAGTCATGAATTTGTTTATAAACTGTACTTATGAAATTATTTAAGGCAAAGCACTAATTTGAGGTATGTGTGTGTGCATGTGTGTGTGTGGGGGGGGGGGACCTTTTGCGTACTTTTATCCAAGATTTTGTGGGTGTGTTGAATCATTGAAATTTTGATCTTAACATCAATAGGGGTATTTTAAGGTCATAAACTATTTCATATAAAATTCCATTACAAAAGCTGATTCCAGTGGATTTCCTTATTACGTAGCTAGGAAGTTTCTTTAATAATAGCCAAAACTCGAAGGCCAAAAATAATGGAATTTGAATTTCCTGGCAATATGCACAACTACACACTTTGTTCTAAATATCTGCAAAGTTTGATGAAATTCTGTGCAGCGGTTTAAGAGGAGTTGCGCTGACAAACTGTTCCTCTCTATTTTCAAGCTATGACCAAAAAACTAAGTTGAAAAGTGCCAAAATTCACAGGACAAAATTATGGAATTTGAATTTCCTGGCAATATGCACTGTACACACTGTGTCTTAAATATCTGCAAAGTTTGACGAAATTCTGTGCATCGATTTAAGACGAGTTGCGCTGACAAACTGTTCATCTCTACATTCAAGATATGGCCAAAAATCTAAGTTGAAAAGTGCCAAAATTCCCAGGAAAAAATAATGAAATTGGAATTTCCTGGCAACATGCATAACTACATACTGTGTCCTATATATCTGCAAAGTTTGACGGAAATCTGTGCAGCGGTTTAAGAGGAGTTGCGCTGACAAAAAAAAAAAAAAAAAGGACTGACGGACTGACTGACTGACGGGTCATAAACATTATACCCCCCGCAACTAGTTGCGTGGGGTATAATAACAGACGCTTTGTTACTATTAAACAATAAAATAAAAAAAAATCAACAATGGATAAATATTATTAAAATTAAAGGTGTAGCAAAAAATATTAAAGATTGAATAACAATGAAGAGCAATAATATTCTATCTGCTTTCAAGTGCCTATAATTGCATTCCCCGTTTTAATGCCTCCCCCGTTATAACGCCAAATAAATAAATGTCGAGGTACAAATATTGGCGGTAAAACGGGGGAACATTTTTACAGTCTATAAATGACATATATGGATATGCAAAACTTATCTCAGTAATCCAAATCGTTTTTCTACAATTCCGGATAATTAACGTCCATTCGGATGTGGTTCTTCGCCAATATTCATAATTTATCATGATGGGTATTGCATAATGGTTTATTTCTTTACAAACTTGTTCCTCGAAGAATCGATAAAACGGTAAGGTCATGGAAATTTTTAGAAAGTAAAATTGTAGCAACATTTGGTTTGATTCAGAAGTATAATAAAATATAAATAAAATATTGATATTTAGAGTTTTACAGCAAACTAGGTGATGGCTAATTTCACTATTGCTTTGACTCGATTACATTTATGTATTTTAAGTATTGTTTTGCTCAGTTGTAATTTGAGGTAAAGATGGCAGGAATAGTTAAACATGTGTGGTCAATAATTTTAGTAATTAGCTTTATTAGCGAAATGATTAAAACAAAATTTGAGTTCATGCATCAACTACACGTATAACCGAAAGAGGGAGGGGGGGGGGGGGTAAAAGGCACCGATCGCGAATACTTTATTGTGAAGAAAGCCGTGCAGACGCGAACTTTTCCCCTTATATCTTATTATGCTTGATAGAGGTATATCCACATATGCAAAAATACGTGTATAATTGTCAAGCATTTATGAGATTTTAGGCACTTTCACTTTGTAGTAATCGAAGTACCGTATGCACTGAAAGGACCTTGTTTTTTTCTTCACTTTTCACAGATTAATGAGATTTGTATTGTTTATAGCTTTTTTGAGATCGATCACTGTTCGATATATTCACCTATTGTACTTTATTATTAGCATTTGCGTAGAAGTACATTCTTGTTGCCAAGATGACAAAAAGGTAATTTCCGTATTGCACATGGGAAGTAGGTTAATTTGCGCATCATGTTCAAAACCTAGTTGGAGTTCCTGCTGTCCACTTCGTCAGTGAACTTGCATGGAAAAATCCATGTAAAGTGGTAAAATTTCAATATATTGAAAAGGGGACTTAGGCGTTTCTGAATTTTGCAAATATTTGTCTCACAAAACACTTTCAGTGTATAGCACGTAAATATACAGCTAGGACGTTGCGCACGGTGTTGGTACACATTGACGTTACGTCAAAATAACGTTATTGAAGTCAACGTTGTTACAACATTTTCAACGTTATAATTGCATATTTTAGTTGTTTAATGTGAATTTTATTTATTTATTTATTTTTTTTTTAAAAATTAGATAAAATAACAGGGCACAAACTTATCAATTTTTGAATCTTCGTTGAAAATATTAAGATGTACACTAAAAAATCTTATAATCTTATAAATAAATTGTAAGATTTTTAATATGAAATTGTCAGACATACATATCCCCATTCATATCCTTGATTCCTCTTTCTATTTAATTTTCTCACTTTGTACTCTCTGTCTTGCAAAGAGAAAAACATCAAGTAGCTTTCTATTTCAACCGTTTCTCCATCATTATTTTTTCCATTAGGTCATTTCAAGTTTTCTATTTCTATCAAGCCCCGCATGCGCTTTGGTTTTTGACACCCAAGATCAGAGAAAAGCACAGAAAATTGGTAGTCCTTTCATGCACGGTTCCAATTTAAAAAAAATATGACTCTCAAAGTTTTTGACAGGCAAAAAAAAATTGTAATTGAAATCCCAGGGAGGGGGGTCCGGGCCCCCTTCCCGACCTCCCCCGCTTGCCTTTTTATTGAGCCTTTCGAATTCTGTCATTTTCTTTCTATATTTTTTCTAAAATATGTTAAATTAGGTAATGTACTTAGCATTTACAACCTTGATTTTGCAAAGGAATATATTTTTCTATGATAGAGAAAATGTATCTTTCTACGAGAAAAATGGAATTATGAAATCAAAACATTTGAATGATGTAATTTTTATGACAACCGGTGTACAAAGTAGGATTTTCCCCATAACCAGCCCCCCCCCCCCCCGAATCTATACTCAGGAGTGGGACTTCCCCCGAAGGGAAATCTTAGACTAGACTAAGAGCCTATTTTTCCCCTCTTTCTTTCTCAGAGTAGTTTTTCCCCTGTTTTATCAATACTAAAATCATATCGACATTATTTAAGTTTATATGAAAGTCATATCGACATTATTTAAGTTTATATGAAAGTCAACTGATTTTTAAAGGAAATATTAGTGTTTTCACTCAAGAATTGTTCAAGTTTATATTAGTATGAAAGCTTAGTAGTAAAAAAAACACACAAAACAAGAAGCATTGCTCTTGCAAGCCCTAGGATACATGTAGGTATGAGCTCTCGACCACAGAGGTGTAATACTGGACAGCTATTTTAAACCCCAGAAACTTGGAGAGACACTTAATCAATATTATGTACATGTAGTTTGATGAAATATAACTGGAGAAAAAAAAATCCATTAAAAATACCCCCCCCCCCTTTTTAAATTAAATGTTGATACAACTATACTTTTTATTACAATTTTTGTGAAGTTTCTTTAAGATTGTCTACTGCGATGGTACCTGTGGAAAAATTATAGAAGGGACATTTGTAACCATGTGTCGCCCCCTCCTTCCCATCATATACAAGCACTGGCATGATATTTTATAGGAGAAGCGGTAAATTGGCCCATCAGGGAATCGCACTTTATAACTGTTACACAGAGTAGGGATTCCCCCGAAAAATTGAATCTGGTGTGGGATTTCTGTTGGGGAAATCCTACTCAAGAGCCAGTTTTACGAGAAAGATTTTAGAGGGGAAAGACCGGTATAAAGTTTTTGTTTTAAATTTGGGCTTTTGTACTGATATGTTTTGAGAATCGATAGATTGGTTCTTGAATTATAGGAGGTTGCTGGACTGAAAAAAAATGCCTTATATTGAATTGAAGTTTTGCTTGTTTTATTTTTCCCAGCCCCAGTAGTTAAGCTCTCTTTATAAATGGGGGGGGGGTATTGACAACAAAACGAAAAAAAATGGGATGGGGACGTTTCTCTTTTAAAAACCCTACCAAATTTTAAAAAAAAACTGGTTTATCACCAAATTCAGAAATCCTATTACTTTTTTGGGAGGGGGTGTTCTCATTCTCATTTTTAGCAAAAAATTGAGAACAATAACGTGATATGTTCAGAAAAAAAAAGTTTCCTAACGCTGACATTAGCCCACATGGCGATATGTACTAGACATAAATGCCAAACAATGATAAATTTTGATGAGTAATCCTTAAGTACATATGTTTCTAAAATTATATATGTTGATACATATCATATTACTGCTAATACGTAAATATTAGTAAGGCCTCCCTCACTAATGTCAGCGTTAGGAAACTTTTTTTTTCTGTTGGACATTTTACTTACGCACTTTAGATTCAGCCCAAACTCATGAAATTGAGAAAATGATGTTAAAAATTCAACAATATCACAAAGAATGCATACATATTATTGCATTTCCTAAATTTCATTTAATTTAGAGGATTGGATGTGGATCTTTTTATATCTTGTAGTTGCGCGAACAATAATTTATGTAACGTTGGACACGGGAATTTCGCCGTAATAACCAATAATGAATAAAGCCATATCATAACTAACATATTTTTAGATTATTAAAAAGAGAATTTTTAGAATGATTTATTACCTTGGATAAAATAATTAATTTCATTTTTAATTTCTAGTAACTTTAACATCTTGAAAACGCCAGTTTCTTTACGACATCTAAAGAGTCAGATTTTATAGTACCAACACCGTGCGCAACGTCTTAAGCTTGGGATGGTCTGGAGATACTATAGGTATAAGTTATCAATGAAAGAACACCATTTACATTACATAGAAATCAAAGGTATATAAATCATATATTATTAAGTTATTTAGGCAACTACGTTCTTTAACCATTCCACTTAAAAGGAGAAATTTAGAGTAATGAGGAGAAAAGTTCCATTTTTTCTGTAAAATGGTTGACGGACAGAAAATTATTTCAAGTGCTCTCTAATTTTTTTTATCTTAATAAGTATTTGACCGTACAGTGTTCCCCTATCGAAGATTTCCATTGATTTTACCTTTAAGATAGAACCTGTAAAAGTGATTATTTAAAAAAATGCTTTCTTGTTTGATCTCATTTTCCTGGAATTAGTTCTTTTTATCAATAATTACTTATAAAAGCTAAGTTAAAAAAAATCCGGTTTTAAAAACCTATTTATAGTCTCTGGTGTTTGATTTGTAGAATCTTTGAGTTAAAAACGTTTCATATATGTTAAGAGAATGATAATATTATATATTTATGAGAGATAGGTTAAAGAGCAATGAACGATTACTTATAAAATACAGTATAAGTGCTTAAAAAATGTTAAAATCAATTGGCTTATTTTTGTACAAGGTTCGCTATACATGTATATCCATTTATCAATATTAAATTCTGTCTCGCTTCCTAAAAGGAAAGAATGTTTTAAGGGTTATTTTTTCATATGATAAAATTTCATTCAGCTTTTAATGTTAAGGGTTCACAACTTCACATAGATTTTATGATTATCAGTTCGTCTTTAAACGTTGATAACAAGTTCGAAATTCGTGATAGTTTTGTGATCTCCGATACCCATGATGTCGAACATACATAAATTGTGATAATTTGCTATTATCTACTAGCCATGATTTCAAACATGCACACACAAAATATTTTTTTAGTTGTTTCATACAGTTCGTTATTATAATCATAATTATATTCATTGACTATTATCAATTATTTCAGTTTTTGTTAAAAAAGATATTTGTTTATTTATCAAATAAAATTTACATTTTTCAAAAATCAATATAATAATATGCTACAGTGGTTATATATATATATATAAATCAAAATTTTGCAAGATATTAATACTGATAAGTTAAAAAATATAACGATCAAATTATTTAAATCATTTGCAATGAATCACAGACTCGATTGTTCGAAGAACTTCTTAATTTCAGTACTAGAAAATATAATTCAAGTACATATAATTGCCGACTAAATCTGTGCACACTTGATCATGTACTAATGATTTTCAAGATATGTTACAAGTTTTTACATTATCAAAGTTTCAAAAAAATTGTTTTAGTAATGCTTTTATACGCTTTCAGTTTTGATTCTCTTTTTTTAGATAAAAAGATGAAGATGTGGTTTGTTGTTATAATTCTGGCAGTAAACGCCCCAAACGTCGCCCCGAAAGCTGGTGATGACTGCCCTGTACACTGCACTTGTAGAGATAGTCTCGTGAAGTGTCATGGCTACAATTCAGTCCCACAGCAATTTGCAAATATTTCGGTCATCAAAGTCCTCGATTTATCCAACAACAATCTAACCGTCTTAACCAAGAAAGATTTTGAAAAATTTATAAACATAGAAAAATTGTATTTGAATGACAACGAAATATCAGACATCGAAAATCGTACGTTTTCGTCTCTGATTCATTTGTCACTGCTGAACCTTTCATGCAACAGCCTAAAAAGAATAGAAAAGGGAGTTTTTTACAGTCTAAAAAGTTTATCAATCCTATACATGAAAAGAAATTTGATCAAAAACCTGTCGTTGGACGCATTCCATAATGTTCCAAATCTACAATATATTAGTTTGGCCGAAAATTTGCTCAATAATATTGATTCGTGTACATCTCCAATTCCGAGTTTACGTATTCTGGATCTAGACTACAACAGTTTGTTGTCCATTCCATCAAATGTCTTCAACTGCACTCCAAATCTCCATACCATCAGTTTGAATTTCAACAGAATATCGCATATATTGGATTATACATTTTCAAACTTGCCCAACATTACAAGTGTTAGTTTAGACTATAATCGAATAATTCATATTGAGATTTTTTCTTTTGAAGTCAGACATCAAAATCCTAACACTTTAATGGAGTGCCAAATACGGCGGTTCAGCATCGTTGGAAATCGACTCAAGGAAGTGCCACAAGCTTTGGGTGATCTTGTATATGTTGACCATTTAGATATAAGTGGTAACATTATCAAGCAAATTGGAACGCAGGTTTTTTATAGACTTAAAAAACTTCGTTATCTTCGAATTTCTGAAATGCCACTTCTGAACTATATTGCACCAGATGCATTTGGAGGTCTTGATCTAAGAGATCTACATATGACAAGGAATTCTAACCTGAGAAAGCTCCCCGAAAATCTACTCCAGAGCATGAACAACTTGAGAACAGTTATCATTAGTAATAATGCTCTTCAGTCTGTACCGAAAAACTTGTGCAAGTGGCATATGTTAATGGATATGATGATGAATGACAATGACTTTATCTGTGGTTGTGGGGTTCACTGGCTTCAGACATATCGTGGATGGGGCACACCCCAAACTCGGCAACATGCGGAGAATCTGAAATGCCACAAACCTGGGAACTCCGAAAATGTTCTCATCAAAGATTTTGACTTCTACCACCTTGCATGTACATACACACCAGTTATAGAATATAAATCGTATGTTCTTGTAGGACTTACAGTCGCTTCTTTGGTACTGATGACTGTATGCGTGATTTTAATTGCATTTCGTTACCGGACGCAAATTTTCCGGTACAAACACCTCTCTACAGATGATGGTCGTGGAGTAGTTCACACGAAAAGAACAAGAACAACATTCTGACATAATAATGTATATTTTTTTCTAAGAATACTGGTTTTTAAGATTATACGTATATTTTCATGTAAATTATTCAAATTATATTTATATATTATGATATTATCGAGAAACATTACTGTCTGAATGATGAAACCATGCAATGTGATAGAACATAGAAATAGTCAACATTACTAATATTCCAAAGCATGTTGAAATCGCGGAATTTGTGCGCATACAGTTTACCGTTTTATGTTTATATTTGTAGAAAACATTCAATATAATATTAATAAAAAAAATAGTGCATATAGTTGAGTGTAACCATTGAAAATTTACACCTTAAGAAAAGGATTGTCAATGGTTTTCTTGGGTAAAAATATTCAATGATACCTTCACCTACATGCATTATTTATACATTATATTCACCGTATTTTATAAAGTAGTAATTACTAGTGTAATGAAGTAAATTGAGGAGTTTGAATCATAAATTGATTTTAGAAGGTCAATATGCTAAGGATCAAAAGGGGAAGCAAATTAAGTTTTTCTTTTATGATCTTTTCTTTAAAAAATGTTTTAGATATTATAATATTTTTATTATAAATTATACAATTAATATTATTGAAGGGTTTTCTTTAGTTAATGTATAATTGTAACATGTTATGACTGTTTTTGTCCTTACAGTTGTACAATTTTCATATATTACACTTAAAGGATTCGAGTTTCAATTTTTTTCTAAGGTAAATGTCTAAGTAAATAATTGTTGTATGTCTGAATTCTTGAGGTTAGTAACGTTGTGTACATATCCAGTTAGATTTGATTCTAAGAGCAATCTTTATTCGCTTTTATTAATATTGCTTTTTTACATGGTTATATTCTATTTTGATTCATGTAATTTTTGTGTTGTTCCATTTTGATTTAATTTACCTAATTATTCCCAATAAACAGACTATATTCACATTGTTCTTTCATGTATATGGAAACAATAAAATTATATGGAGCTTTCAAATACCATATACATGTAACGACAAACCAATTTTACTGATATATTAGAAGAATTTAGTTCTCAAAATGTTTTGGGAAATCAAGACGGATCAATGAAAAAATATTGTACAAACGTAAGGAAATGTTTGGATTATTGTTAAAGTTGTAACACGTGTATTTTACAATATAAACACTTATGAATTCTTCTTTTCTTCATATAATTTTATTTATGAATTGAAACATGCATTATGATGTACATCTATGTTTGATACATTTTTTTCCTTTTGGAAATTATTGATATTCATTTACAGAATTACATATATTTTAAAAAATGTACTAGTATCTCCTCTGTATGCATTTTGCATGTATTTTCTGTATTCCAAATAGGCAGTAACTCAAAAAAATACATAAAATAGTATGTCATTTGTCAAGATTATTTCACAGGATAATGCTTACATGTGGTGTCTCCAGTATTTGTAGTTGTATTCATAAACAAATTGAAATACAGGTCTAAGGAAGTAAATATATGAAAAAAAAACATGGGCCACAACGCTCTTCTGAGTCATCTCGGCCCTAGCTGTTCTTTGGAATAAAGTGGGTGGCATTTTCATCCACCCCCTTTATTCCCAGAAAATGTGCTGTAAATTTGTTTCCTCCTCTTAGTCCCAGTGTATAGTAACACAAGTGATTTAAATCCACAGAAGATGGAAATGCTTCAATTTCATTTAACTGTTTACTTAAGGTTTGTCACTCGTGATATGAGTTATATCATATTTCATGCGAGTTGCTTTGCCTACTGCAGAGTCAAGAATATTTTACCCAAACTATGTTTGACCTTGATATGCCCTCCATTCTCCTTCCAATTTATTGCACCTTACATGATGACCCATTTGTCAAACCATCAGATACATCAACATTGACTGAGATATCATATATCCTCCCAACAGCAAGAATCAAATTTTGCATCAAATTGACAGTGTTGCTTACATCATTTGCTTTAAAACGAGATCTGAGCAGCTTTTACTAAAGATCTTTTGAATAATCTTTATTTAACAATATCCACTGAATTCACTGTGATCTTTTCTCCTTCATTTTTTTCAGTCACTTGATTGTTGTATACATCTACTTAGAATTCTGCATAAAGAGATGAGGAGCATGGTGTGGATAATTGTCACTTGATTCTGTTATTATGTATATGTGTATTACATTCATATTTTTGGCTGTCGTTCATTGTAACGAAGGCAATTAAGAAGATGAGCAAACTCTATGTCATCTTTCTTGCGCATTATTTCATCCAAATCAAAAAATTGAAAAAATGCTCCTTTCAAAGAATGCTTGCAAGAGTTTGAGCATCATGGTTTAATTCCTGAAAGATCCAACTGTCCATCACAGGTTTAAGAATCACCAACATCAATGATACAACTGTTAATCAGAGCTAACGACCTATTTCCTACTGTTGATATCTCATCGATAATTATTAGTTTTAAATTTTGGTACTTTGTGCGAAAAGTGTTTCAACTCATCACATTGTAAGATTTGTTCACTTTGATTATTTGATGGAAAGCAGATGTGATAGTTAAACCTCCATTATTATATGCTGCCTCGCCAGTATAAGCACAAAGAAGTACTCTTATGTTATCTGGATGTTCACTTTCAGTGGAGCATAGATATCTGTGCTGAGCTTGATATAAATAGCTTTTATCAAAACAGATTTTCTAACACCATCAACTCAGATAAAAATTAATAGGTTCTCTTTTTGTTTTGACCAATTGCAAGACATGATCGAAAAATCTCGCTGCTTTGTGTTCAGACTTCCTAAAAGTTTTAAGAATTCACTGTCTGGTAATCTAATCTATATCATTCTGTCTTTGTTCTATCCAAACAATCATGTGCTCATGTGGTGATACTCTTTGTTGAAATTCGATTCTATAAGAGAAGGTTTTCACAATGCCTATTGGATGTTGGTCGCTCCTCAACACTGAATTCATAAATGTACGGAACCTATGATCAAAATACCTAGTGCATATGATAGGATCCATTCTTACTCATTTTGATTTTTCAAACCATGTCGTGCTGTCAATTTGTTCGTAAGTGTATATCTTTCCATCATTTAGCATTCCTAGTGCTCTGATGAGGTCATTCTATCTTGTATCAGCTGCAAAGACATAACCCATGTTGGTAAACCTAGCTGTCCGATCATAGCAAATACTGTCATCCTTTTTTCTAGTCTCAAGATATGCAGGTGAATTCCTGAACTGTCTGAACACAAAGAAACCTTCATTGTGCCTAACAATACTATTCTCATGTTCAGGATTTTAAATTTCATCTGCTGTAATAGATCTTTTTTTTTGGTTTTGCATTTCCTAAGAGCCAGGTTGCATTTGTCTATAACTTGTTTCATTTATATTTTTTCAACTTGAGAATCAAGTGTGGAACGGACTGGGAAGCACGTCTTTAAACACTTTTCAATTACTAATTAGCTATATCTGCATGCGAAACATGCACTTATCTTTCATAATCATGTAATCTTCCCTTGCCACAAAATATTATTGGAAATGATAAATATTCTACAGTCCTACATGTATTTTGATATAGACTAAGGGGACTAAGTTAACTCATGTCTTGAGAGGCATTGTCTAAGAGAGTATCACAATTACCATCTCTATCAATTCCATCTACTTCACAAAATTCATCATCATCATCGGCATCAAGATTATCGGTATCTTTAGCTCTTCCTGTTTGTGTTTGCACTAGTTCTTGAACAATTTCTTGAAACCAGCTATTATCAACATTGATAATTGATGTCATGTAGAAGTCACTATTGTTCAAAGGCCAGTGTAATGCATTCAGTACATTTTCATGATAATCACATATTTGGTATGACAACTTTTTCTTTAACTTAACAGGACTCGTGATATTTTCATCCATCTTTCTAAGTAAGCTATTTATAGTTGTTTGAATATCAACGGGTACATTCAATATTTCCTTTTTATAGAAAATTATCCATCTCTTAGCAACTCTCTAATTTGCATGAAGGGAATTTTAAGTGTTATCAGCTTCCCTTCTAATGAAAACAAATCTTATCCTCTTGGTTTAGGAGACCATATCAAACCATTAAGAACAAACATCTTGTTTTTTTTTCTCTAATTGATGAATAGCAAGTTTTGCATATCCATTCTGCATTATGAACAGAAATATAATACCAGTTAGATATCTGCTCTTACTTGTGTCAGTGTAGTGTTTTCCACTTTTAAAACACTTTTTTAAACCATGTTTGATGACAACATGACATACGAAAATGAATCATGTTTAATCTGTTCATGAAAATTGTGGATGCAGTCTTCTTTGTATATTCCACACTGTATTAGTCTATTTCTTTCATTTTCTTTGTTAAATATATTTTTCATTCTGTCTGTTTATTGTTCAAACTCTCATTTTGTTTATAGAAAAAGTGATTCAGTTAAGCTTGCTTGTTTTATCGCTCTTTTTCAAGAATAAGAGGGGTTTCTCTACACTTCTCTATACTTGCTTTTTGAAATTCTATTGCCTTCGTTTTCTTTTTGTTTTACTTCGTAATTAAATCTTTTCAACTTTCTTGCAGACTTACCATTTACTCTTTCTTTTCCTCTCACTTCAGCATTTTGCCTTTTCAGTTTTCTTGCAGCTGTTTCTCGTTCATTTTCTTTATTTTTCAACATTTTGCCTCTTGAATTTTCTAGCAGCTTTATCTAGTTCATTTTCTTTTCCTCTCACTTCAACATTTTTCCTTTTTATTTTTCTTGCAGTTGTTTCCATTTCATTTTCTTTATCTTTCACAACAATATTTTGTCTTTTCAATTTTCTTGCAGCTTTATCCAGCTCTTTTTCCCTTTCCCTCAAATAAACATTTTGTCTTTTTCAGTTTTTTTTTTGCAGATTTATCCAGTTATTTTTCTTTTCCTCTCACTTCAATATTCTATCTTTTCATTTTCCTTGCAGTTGTTTCCCTTTCATTTTCTTTATCATTTATTAACATTTATATATACTTTGCAGCTATGAATTTCATACATTGCATGTCAGGAAATTAAAAGCAAAAACTTATATTTATATTTTTTTTTCATCCAAACTTTGGCATAAAATAAATGTATAATACATTTCTTTATAAAAAAAAATTCTCAATTAAAATCTAAAAATACATCTGTACTTTACTTGGAAAACTTTTACTGATTTTTTTTTTTTTTCGGAAGCATGTAAAAGTGACTGGTTAAAATACTCTTATTCTTGGTCGATCTCATTTCTCAGTAATACTTTATTACCTTTGTTCTATAATCAATAATCTGTTATTATGGTAGTTACAGGTTATATTAGTCGCTTTAAAGTTTAGAGGATAATTTAATTACTTATAGCTATTAATAGATATTTATCACAGACTTCGTGTAAAACACAAGTGTAATTTTATCATTTCAAAATTATTTATGTAACAAATTGCTACTTTGATAAGGCTCTGAAAATATGGAGAGATGAGAAGAGAAAAATGTTTATATATATATATATATATATATATATATATATATATATATATATATATATATATATATATATATATATATATATATATAATTGTTCCCTCGTGAAGAATAAGATTACAACTTACCATACTGAAATCTAATATGCGTGTCAATTTCACTGATTATGCTAAAATCATATCCACTAGCTTAATTTGGATCAGTTTTATCACATGCAGACATATCAGTATTTTATGGTACAAATTAAGTCTCAGGTATAAACGGCAGTTATTATTTTCAGCATCTTATTATTTCTAAAATATGACCTTTATCATTTGGCTTTGCTTCTAAAAGGTTCAGATTATACATGTAGGTTATCATAGTATTGTTTAAACTTCGATAACAGGGTCGACACTCTTGATGAATTTATCATTTTCCTATACCCATGATGTCGAACATGAACAGAAACATACAATGTTGTGATTACCTCTTACTCTCGATTTAAAACATGACAAAAATCAAGAAAATTTCTTTAGTTATTGTTTTCATATATGTTTGCTAACATGTTGTATAATATTCTTTTATTGTAATTTTTCGTTTGAAAGGTAATTGTGTAATTATAAGAACTTACAAATGAATATTGTGTTTCATGGAACATACGATCATGTTAGAGTGGTTATAAGTAAATTTCACATATTTACTTCAAAGTAAAGAAAATTTTACAAGAAAATAATATTAAATTATATTTATTAAAATCCATAAATGTACACAAGTCAATGTACAGATGAATACTAATTTAAAAATAAATTTGACAATTTCAAATTATGAGAATCAATATTTCCTCCCAGCAAAATAGACGCTGATAATTAAGATTAATAGATAATCCCTTTTTCAGTTGATTAATCTGGAGATATCTTTAAATTCAATTTGGAAACAAATAAGAATATTTTTCAGGAATTTTAAACTCAAGTTTAAATGCATTTACTTTTTCTTCAGAATGGAAAAAAAAAACATCTTAGAATTTTTTAAGAAACTAGACTCTGACCCGTGCGTACACGGGTTGACATTGTTATGAATGCATCCATGTGCATATCGGACATTTACAAAATAGATACATCGACACATTCATATTGTAAGGTATTTTTTAAATAAACAATGAATGTGAATATAATTCTGTTTTTTTTTTTTTGGTGTTTGTTTTGTTTTGTATTTGTTTGTGTTTTTTTTTAAATTGTTGCGTAACGGCGTAGCGCAGAATGGGTTTGACCACCAGTTAGCTATAAATCAAGTCATGAGTTAGAATCACGCCGGAGCTTACATAAATTCCACCCTTCCAAACAAATTTAATAAAAGAAATTATGGATGTTCATTGAACATATGACAACAGCAAAGAGTTGAGCACACTGCTGATACATATCAAGCAAAGTAATGAAAATGAAGAAATGTGCTAAGCTGGTATTTTTACACAATCAGTTATTAAAGTAAAGGTGTAAAAATTTTTGTAACAATTTTAACACTGCAAGTCTCAACTTGTTCAAAATATGACCTCAACAATAAAAGAGTTAAGCACGGCTAATACATATACTTTATATATACACAGGTAATAGCTAGGTATATAATCTGTAAAAGACTGTCTGTTTTGATAAAAATTAATGTAATATCCTTGAATTAGTACATAGAAAAAGTAATAAAAATAGAAGCTTAATTGAGAAAAAATAAAAACAAATTGGTAATCTTCAAGTACCAATGATGTTTAAAATATATAAAACAAAAGACAGTATTCTTCCGATTTATCGGTATTAAAGGCCAAAAATTCGAGTCTATAATTTTTATATAGTAGTTATTATTGTAATTTTTGGCGGAAAAAGAATGCCTACTTCACTAAGATGTGATTCTAACTGGAGTTGTAACACCCCCCCCCCCCTTCAGTTCCCCTCAAAAAAGCATAAAAGAAAGGAGGGATAAAATAAATCGGTTAGTTACATTAATGTTGCTCCTACGATCATGAGCTTTTTGCCTCCGTTGAGATGGTCAGAGATATAAATAAAATAACATATAATAAATGTGTCTCCGAGATGGCGAATGATTACCCACGTGGCCACAATATCACATTTGTATGGATATAAACTCAGAAACGATTACGATAATACAAACATAGGCGTCAGAAGCAAATTGAAAGTGGGGTGGCTATTTGAAAGTTGGGGGGGAGCTAAACCCACGAAGAAAGGTAAGCCCCAATTTTCAATGCCTATATTGTGTCTATCTTTGCAAAAAAAGGGGGGCTAAGCCCCCTAGCCACCCCCCCCCCCCGGGTCCGACTCCTATGACAAATACATGTAAATTTTCATTGGAAATTTGCTGTATATTCTGTTCGTATATATTACTGATTTCGTATTAGAGAAATTATACAATAACAAATATATATCTACTTAGTATTTACTTTTGTCTTCTCTGATTTGAACACACTCTCGACCAACGGCTCATACATTCGTGTATAAGAGAGAAACGAACGACAACTCTGCAAGGGAGATTGATTTGAACACCGTGATTTAGCGTGAATGTAATGCGCACGCGCAAGATTGTAAAATCCAAAAAATCCAGATGATTTCCGGAATTTTTTGAGGAATTTTCGTTGATTATTAATTAGCGAAGCTTAATTGAGAAAAAATAAAAACAAATTGGTAATCTTCAAGTACCACTGATGTTTAAAATATATAAAACACAAGTTTGGCTTTCCAGAAAGCCTGAAATGTCATCTCTTTGGCTTCATTAATGTCACAGAATAAACAGTGGAATGTTATATTATTTTCTCAGCTATTACAAGCAGTAGTATCGCTTTTGAAAAAATGGGGAGTGGAGGACAAAAAAAAAAATCGACGATTTAGCTGAACAATCTTTGACAAGGAGAAAAGGGGGCTATCCAAACTCAACATTTTTTTTTCTTGGAAGGAGGGATTACAACTTTTCCGACAAACATATTTTATATTATAATACATTCTCATGGGATGATTTGACGTACCATACTGCAACAAAAGGTGGAAGAGGGGTCAAGGGTGCGCCTTTTCAATGTTTGGGGAAAAAAGTGGAAGGGGACGGCCCTCCTGGTGCTATGTGCCTGTATTATTTTACCTGTTGTAAATATGCTTTATTCAGGTTAAATATATTTTGTATCATGTCTGTAAAAAATTCTAACCACTGAGAAATATTCGTAAGAATTATTTAAAGTCATATATTACGGTTTTTTTTTTTAAAAAATAAGTTCAGACTACCTATGTTAAAAAGATCTTTCTATTTGTTTTATTACTTTATATAAAAATAGGACTTTCCTGTAAATTACACAATTTAAATCAATCACGTTTCAAAGATATTAGAAATTTAAAGCAAAAACCGATTTATTTACCGATTCAGATTTTAATTAACAGACACAGTTTAATTTTTTTTTTAATCAGTCGAACTATGGAAACATGAGGTTATTCAAATTCAAAATCGGTGAAATATTTAATTTCAACGTAAATAACATATATCATGTTTAGCTACACCCAATCTCGTATTTTTATTTTTTAGCTCAGATACGCCATATATAGCTTTAACAATTATTCCGAAAGAAGATGGATATAAACTTAGCGTTCCTTTTGACTTTAGTTCTTAGCCGCCTACTACGGCAGCAAAGAAGTTTTAAAGCGCCAACTTAAATTAATCTGAACCTGAATTAATTCCAAGACTTTCCTTATTTTCCTTAATCGTATCGTCTGAAGTGACTTGGCCATCGAGCCACTGGGATTTGATTGATTATCGAGCCACTTTGAATATCAAGGGGAAAATTGAGACACTCCTGCATCATGTCCTTCTGCTGCCAATATGCAGATTCATGTGTTAACGCTATATTATGTATAATATAAGTACATGTACATGTATCGGCTCCTGGGAAAAAATCATGCATAGAAAGGTAATAAAATTGAAACGTTACCATTTAAAATTAAGTATTAACACATCGAAAAGAACCCCAATCTACCAACATCGATTTTATAGGCTGTTTCATGAGACACACATTTTATAATTTTGGCTTTATTTCAAGAATACGAGGAGTGATTTTTTTTTACCTTTTCTCATTGACAAAAAACGCAAATTAGAATTGCATAAAGAAAATGATAACAGTTGCTTTGTTTATTAACTCTTAAAATCCGAGCCAGGTAAAGAAAACTGTATGTTTTCCTAATACTTTTCTACAGGGGCCGGTAAATTTAAATAAAAAAGAATATAGTGCACACATCCGAGAAAATACTTAAAATATAATGATTCTTTATGATCTTTATTCCAATGCCTGCAGCACTGAGTTACTTAAACCAGAGACATTTATGTTTCTGCCTAAATTGTGTTTTTAGGCAAAATTTCTTTTCTTCGAACTTTATTATAATTATTTTTTTTTTTTGAATAAGTTCTGTTTTATTTTTCATATATACGGCATTAATTATCGATTGACTAAAGTACACATAAAAGTAAAGTTTTTGCCATTGTATTTATGCATTTAATGTGAGTTGTTATTTCAATGTTTTCACTGTTTTCTTTCGTCAGTAAATCTTGGATCCACGCCTTGGCTGATACATTCAATATGCCTTGCTTTGTGTATTTTGATCCCCGCGCGCTGACCATCGTTTTACGCAATAGCCTAGATGCAATGTTTATGTATATAAACCGTTAATGAAGACCCACCACCACCCAAGTGATCCTACCTCTATTACTCTTAATGAACACTGGTGTAGTTTTACTTTAACTTTAAGATGGACCATTTTGTTTAATAATAATAAGAAGACTTTGGTCAATTTGGTTTACATCTCTATATTTAGAAATCGTGTCATCGTCAGTCCCTTTGCCAGCTTATCAATGGCAGCTTACACTAGGACTTTACTTCCGGTGATTCAAACTTAATGTGTCATCTCCCGAGGGAGATGACAAAAAGACAGTACCCTTCCGATTTATCGGTATTAAAGGCCAAAAATTCGAGTCATTATTTTAATATAGTAGTATAGATATCTGATAATTTATAAGAGTCTGGAAATGGCACAAATTAAAACAGAAAAGAGTTTCCAGAGAAAATATCACTTTCTATTCTCTAGAATATCAAATTATAAATGACATGTTCAATTGTATTACAAAAATGTGAACACAAAGTAAAATTGTGCTCACATAAGGATGTCAATTTCACTTCTTTGTAGCTTCTTCATAACTTGGCGGAGCTCCCCCGTTCTCCTTATATTTGGGAGGCGACATCACTGCCCCGTATCCAGACCTTGCAGCTGGAACGGATGGTTCCTGACTTTCTTCCAAAACATCCGGAAGTGCATTGAAAGGAGCGGAAGAACGAGTCGAAGTTGGTGCCTGTGTTGATTTCTTTCGGTATTTTTTTACAATAAGAATAGTTCCTAATAATCCAAGTACTGTTGGGATTAGAAAAAATATCATCACATATACCCATTTCCTCGAAATGCAAGTTACTTCAATTTCAGCATCTCCTTCAGTGTCGGAACTGGAAGTGACATTTAGAACGATAGATGGATGTTTGTGAAGTGATGGGAAATGTAGAGTGCAGGAAGGAGAAGCCTGAGAATTAGTACATTCCGCCACATTATTCGAGAGATCATACAAACGCTTGTCCAACGTGAAATTGACCGCCAGAACGGTTGGGTATGGCATGATATATCGATTTGCAAATATTAAGTAATACTCATCATCTGCCTTGACTGTGTAATGAAACACAGCAGGTTTGTTAGAATAACAATATAAAGAGTTACTTAAAACACTACACGTGTAAAAACATTCGTCGTTTTTAAACTTTTTGAAATCGTCTTCACCTTTAATTATTATAAATTCTAGAGAAGAATCCGGGCATGCAGAGATTTGAATCCTGGAGTTGGCCAACAAGTAAAACCCCCAGTATTCATAACTATTGTATTTTATTTGCGTTTTCTTCTTGAATGTTACATTTTGTAATCCTTCTAGATAATTAGAGGGTTCTCCGTCCATTAAATATGCGTTAAACGTCGATTTGTGTGACGTTATGGTTACACCATCGCAAAATGTTTCCGAAAACTTTTTCGGAACCTTTCGCATATCTGTTACCGTAGCTTCAACATTTTGTGTCTTGTTCACATGGAAAACTGTTATCAAAGAAGTTGTCAGAATTATTGCTACGATCCAAGTCCATAACGTGCAAATTCGGACTTGAAAAGATTGTCCGCGACAGCAGAAACACACACATATCCACGAGCAGTCGCAGTCCCCTTCTTCGCCATGATTTCTCCTTGAATGTAAGTGATGGGTGTGGATTGTAGTTGTCGTGAAAGAAAATCCCCCACCACCGCTAAATCCGCCTCCACCACCACCACCACCAAAACTTCCGGTTCCATGTACCATTTTGTTTTATATAGAAAATCTGCAGACAAAAATTGTAATTAAATATTTTAGAAAGAAACTGTTTCTTTTCTGGTTAACCTTACACTGTTTTAACGCTTTACAATAAGAACAAAAATCGTTAAAACAACCTGAGCAGTGCAAATGTATGTTAATCATGAAAACAAAGGAAGTACGTGTACAAAATGTGTTAAGCAACCAGGACGTACGATATTATTGAAACGTAAATAGATCATCGTATGAAATATTTCAGTGGAATTGCAGGATTTAATGTTAAAAGAAAATAGTTTCATTTGTTTCAATCAAGTAACTCAATACGCTTTTATACAAATATAAAGTAGTACATGTATATAAACATTACAGAACCATGGAGTGTATTTGTCTATTTCAACTACATACTTTTAAACACATTCATAACCGTTTTCTTAATGGAGGATTTTTAATGTTAACCATTATCTCTGTAGGAAGAAGAAATAAGCGTCTTACCTATTGCTTAGAGATGGTATATACTCATCGATGTTGCTTTATAGGTCGATAATGAGGTTTCGCAATGCGTGATAACAGGGTCACATGCCTTACGTATGGGAGATTTGTAATGTAAACATTAGATTGTGACCCGTGGTTTTAAATTTCCAAGTGCTTAACGGTGAAATTTGAGCTTAAATATTTTGATATACCCTGGTATATATTTAGAAAAAAGTAGATACGTTCAATAAACAAATCTCCAAAAATCCTCTATCTAATAGCGATGTACCAAGTTAGTATACATGTATTACCATGAGTAAAACATTTTCAAAGGGGTTTTGTTTGATTTTTTCCCCCGCTGAAATATATTTTAAAACAACAGATCATTTTCCAATAAAAGCGCTGTGTTTAATTATGATTTCGGGCTGAAAAACCTTTAGTCCTTTAGAAATGTCACTTTCTGTGAATAAATCATAAGGGGCAATTTCCTGCTTGCTTCGTAGGGATATGATTTCGATGAAAAACGTGATGTCATTTTTAAAGATATAACTTAAATATTAATGTTCTTGGAAGTTGTAAAGTCGTGTATTAAGGGTATATCCACGGAATTGTTCAAATTGACCCTCGATACGTATTATAAGGAATCAAATACGTATAAGGACACTTGTTAGAAACATGGATTTTTTTCACCAACGTGTAAATCATGTAAATATGAAATTCTATGGTATTTAAAATTATCAATTTTTGCCGATACCCTTATTATTTTTACCCTTTTTATGTAACTTTAGAAGACAACATTGAAAAATATTAATAAAGATAACAATCTATTTATTTTCAAATTTCCCAAACATCAATTTTATTCTACCTGTATTTGACCCTGGAAATTGAATTTGAAAATATTCTCGTACAACCAGTATCGTCAGTTATTATTGGCAGCAGCAGCGGCCAATCTATTTGTGCCTGTGTAAGAAAGTGAGTTATTTCTTTATTAGTTCAGTAAAATAATTCTTTAATGATTACTTGTATAAAATCATGAATAAAATATTTTAAAAATTTGCTTTAAAATAAGTCTTAATTGTTGCTATTATTTTTCAATTTCATTTTCATTTTTTTGTCTGATAATTATTAAATTATGATTATTTAAAAGGAGTTTACAATATGTGCTCCCCAACCTGAGAGTGTACAAGATAGAACGCAAATCGATAAAATAAATTATTTATCCTACATGCAAATATTAGAGCTGAATCTCTTTAAAAAATAATAAAAAATTAATTTCTGTGATAGGTGAAACTATCTGTGTAATTTTCTTTAGTAATCTCTATTCATTATGTCAGTAGGATTATTGAGCGACCAAAGATAGACAACGAGTTATACATGTCAGAGCAAATTAAATATTTGGATGGTAGCAAGTGACTGAATGCATTAACCTGATTTCATGTTTAAAAAAAAACGGGATGTGTTTGTGAAACACTGATGCCCCCGTATGGCAACTTATAGCAAAGGTTAAACTTTCTCAAATGCAAATCAAATATGTTGACACCCAAAGTAAGGCCCTGTCCCGAGGAATAAACCTGTGAAATATGAAAGGCCTAGCACCAACCATTGAATAGATATGGAAAAGGTTAACGTTTATTTCAAAAGTATGTCAAACATCAAGGTCAAGGTCAAATAGTCAAAATTAATGGTGCCAAAGGAAAGGCCTTCTCTCAAGAAATACACATGTGAAATATGAATGCCCTAGCACCAACTGTTCAAAAGTTATTGCAAAGGTTAAAGTTTTCCAGAAGTAGGTCAAACTCCAAGATCAAAGTCAAAGGATCAGAGCTGTTGGTATCCAAAGAAAGGCCTTGTCACAAGGATTACATATGTGAAGTATGAAAGCCCTAGCACCAATTGTTCAAAAGTTATGGCCAAGGTTAAAGTTTTTCAAAAGTAGGTCAAACTCCAAGGTCAAAGGGTCAAAGTTGTTGGTATCCAAAGGAAGGTCTTGTCACAAGGATTACACATGTGAAGTATGAAAACCCTAGCACCAACCGTTCAAAAGTTATGGCCAAGGTTAAAGTTTGGTAAAATTTTGCAAAACTGGGTCAAATGTCAAGGTCAAAAGGTCATGTATGGTGCACGTGGTACCCAAGGAAAGGTCTTGTCGTAATGAACACTCATGTTAATTATTAAAGCCTTACCCTTGATAGCGCAATAGTTATGTGCTAGGTTAAAGTTGACAACAGACAGACAGACAAACATACAGACAAACAGACAGACAGGACAAAATCAATATACCCCTGGGATCTTTTGATCCTGGGGCATAAAAAACTAAAATTTGATTATATACTAAGGTGCTTAATTGGAACATTTCATTTTCTGCCAAATTTTTGAGGTAACAAAAAAAAAATGTTCATAACACTAGTAATAAAATCGTATGCATATTTATTTCATTTTTCTATTTTTAAATAAAATGCATTATGATCATAATTTTTTCGCTATGGGATATATACAAAAAAATGTATATCGTGCTTTTATTTTGGATATATTTAAAAAAAATGTACTTGATTTGTCCTAAGTTATCATAATTTGAGCCTATATTGGATTGGACTTTATAAAAAGAGAGACAAATCTTAACAGGTTTATTTTGTTTAACTTGTTTTGTTGAAATTATTTTTTCTCAGAGAATAACATAAGTAAGATAAAAAAAAAAGAGAGAGAGAGAGGTGAAATACTGAAAATAAACATCAAAAGGCACCTTAAGGCCGTCTTTAAAAAAATTCTGTTTACCCTCTCCCGACCGATGGACTCAAAAATCCATCTTTTTTAACCTCCAGGAAACAGGTATTAAATAAATGTAATTTGTTTCAATAGAAGACCTTGTTATTCCTCGGTTCCCTTTTCTCTTTTATTTTGATTTATTTTTCTAAGTGATTTTGTGCAGGTAAGTTCTCGAAAATGGTTCGCTTGATTTTCATGGAACTTTCAGATGTGATAAAACATCAAAGAAACGGCATATATATATATATATATATATATATATATATATATATATATATATATATATATATATATTACAACGTCACTTCCGGTCGAGAGTCATTGCCAAATTTGTGTTTTTAAGATAAAAGTTTGCATCTCCTGGAAAAAAAAACGGTTAAAGATAAAATCAAAAAACTTAGGGATGATAGATCTTGGTTTGTACATTTGCAAAAGGTGTTCCATTTCTTTTGTTGCTCACTAAAAGTGAGGTTAAAAATTATGGATTCCCAGGATTTCGCAAAGGTGCAAAGTTTAAAAAAATCTTGAAGAGTAACAAATAACTAAAAAGAATACAAACCAAAGTAGAAAATAAATAATAAAAATAAAATAATTATATCAGATGTTGTGGTGGTTATGGTTTGTTAATATAAGTTCTTTTGACACTTTTTACAGGAATAACTGGTATAATTAAATTACATTTGGAATATTTGGCATTGTCCCTTGAAACATGACTTTTAGTGCATACCTCACTGAGTGGGATTAAAAAGAATAGAAACATAAGACGTTATAATTCTTTATTCAGATATTCACATATTTCCTCAACAGCTTTTAAACTATTTTTATAGTTCTGTATAGATAGGAACCCATGATCCATTCCAGTGAAATGCCTATGTTCTACTTTTTTCTTCATTGTTTGTAATCGCTTTGTCATATAAAAACCATCGTCACGTAGTGGGTCGAATTCTGCCGTCAGTATATAAGTACTTGGTAATTGGCCTACACTCCGATCGTCTGCCATCAAAGGAGCAAACGAGGGGTTAAGAAACACAGGCTTTATAAAGTTTGATAGAGTTACATTTTTTTCAGTATTTGAAGTTGCACTAAAATCACCGACTCGTAATTCTTGAGGTAGATTTTGAATATTAACATGTCTGGCTTCCTCTGAGGCAAGCCATTCAGATGTAAGATGCCTACCAGCTAACAGGTCTAAATGATTTACTGTTAAGAATTCGTGTCCAAATGCGTATCTTAACCAGAATTCGGCCATTCTTTCGGAATTAAGTAAACCGGGGACGGAAGTTCCTGCGTATTTAACATAGGCTGGAGTTGCAAACTGAAAGGCCTGTAGCGCTGGATATATGAGAACTTGAACCTTTATCTTTGGGAGGTGGGTAAAATTAGGTCCCAACAATCGGAGTGCCACTGCAGCCGCCAAATTTCCTCCAGCGCTATCTCCTATAAGAAAGTTTCTGTGTGAAAGCAATCATATTTCTTCAAAACAATTAATCGCAACTTCTGATCATGAGGTCTTTCCGACAAGCGGAAAAACAAAGTCGAATGAGTTACATGTACGTAAGCGTCCATGACAACCCCCTTCTCTATAAACATTGCTACCTCTTGATATCTTTAGAGTATGAAGCTTAACTTCATTGAATGTAAAGATATTACCTAAAAAAATATACAACAGAAGGGACAATCAACTCTGTCGATCCAATACTTTAATAAAATAGGACGCGACTTCATTTTGTCTACAATTTAACATTCGGTGATGTAAATTTCCGAGCTTGCCGCAAAGGCCCAAGAAGACGCGAAATCTTGTCTTCTGCTATTGTTTTGGGGGTTCAATAGGGCGTTAGAAATCATTATGTCTTATTATGAAAAAAACTAGTGTAGAAATCATTGATGTCTTATTATGAAAAAAACTACACTAGCAATTAACACCTACCCATGACACCAATCCTATTCGGATCAGTTCTATATTTCTTGGCGTGACGAAGGAAGTGACTTGTTGCACTTACACAGTCGTCTATGGGGGCGGGGAAAGGAAATTCCGGAGCCAGGCGATATCTGTAGAAAGATGCAGCAACAAGTGAAAAAGATTTTTTTTTAAAAAATGATGAAAAATTAAAAGTGAAACTCAGAGTCAGTTTGAGTAGGATACTTGAAACAAAAGGTAATGTCAACAAGCCTTTAAAAATCCTGACCAGAATGAAAATGTATCAACAATTATGTGCAAACTGATATTTTTCAACATTAGCTGATTTAATTCAACCCCCCTCCCAATACTTCGGAAAGTTTATTTAGAAGCATACTCAACAGACACTACAACCATTTGCTTCCTTCTTACGAATCTTCTCATCATTGGGTCATGGGAATCTAAAAAATATTATCACTGTCTATTAAAAAATACAGAGACTAAAAATGTTGACACATTGCAGTGGCGGATCCAGAAATTTTAGAAAGGGGGGGCGGCTCAGTGCAAGGAGCTTTTTTTTTTTGACAAGTCAAAAAAACAAAAACAAAACAAATCTACGAAAGTCCATTAAGCTTATTTTCGTAGGTAACAAAAATATTTTTCGCAAATAAACGCAAAACTTTTGTATTATATAAGGCGGGGGGGGGGGTGTTTCCATCCAGCCCCCCCCCCCCAAAATTCAAATCAGAAATTTGTTGTGCGGGGATGTTGCACCGCTTTCCTTCACTACTATGACTCTTCCTACCAGCCTCAGAGGGGTCTGCGTTTTCTGGGTGTTGGGGGGGGGTTTCAAGGTCATTCTTTAGTTACTTTATTCTACATTAATTGACATGGCAAATTTCAGGGAGAGCCACCCCCCCCCCCTTTCCCCTAGATCCGCTCATGGTTAACAAACGGCTTGAAAAACTAAAAAACTACTAAAAGTAAACAAGTTAACAATGAAATAAAAAGTTAACAATGAAATAAAATGTCAACACTAAAACAACGTACTAAGAAACACAATACGTCGGTAATTAGTTCCAGGAGTACAATCAGCCGTAACGAATTTGAAGGATATATACATCCAATGCTGATATCGGAGATAGGAAAACTAATATGGCGTGTTGCATTTTAGGAGTCGTGTTCAGCCTTTAGTTTTAGCTATATCCGTAGCGTTGCTTTTGCATTAATAAGTTACAGGTCAACATAAATGAGTTATGTCAACATAGTCATATAGCATAACTAAGTTGTATGCCGATATAAATATAAGTTGCATCTAGCATAGTAGTTACATGTTTGCAATATTTGATAATTTATGAATAATTTTCCAAATCGTATCTGATATCATTTTTCTTGCACGTCAACGTGGTTATGTTGGATTTCGACATACTTATGCTGCATTTTGACATAATTGTCTTGCATGTCGATAATATCTATAGAAAAATAACTTGTATACAGAGGCCAGATAATTTGTATGCCGGAGAAGCTATTCATTTAGGTTACATATACTTGAAATTTTAAAGGAGAATTATAGTAAAAACTGTCTAGTCCGACACTTGTGCAAATCGTTTCACTGTGAATTCCGACCTCTATTTTCATTCCCTTTTTTTCTATTATCTGTGTTATTTACACCCAGGCACTGCCTATTCCAATACAAAATTTCTTCCCTAGTGTATGTCGATCAGAAAGGTTTCACTCCAAAATCAACAGTGTTGTATCGATAAAATATTCTTACGGAATATTTGGAAGTGGAACTAATACCTCTGGATCCGAACACCCAACCCCCTCCATGGTAGAACACCAGTCCAGGTAACAGTTTGTCCTTCGGATGGTTTTTCGGGCTATATACTCGTACATATACTCCATCAAATGTGTCATCCACAGACTAATATATAAAAAGAGATTAAAACAGAATTTGAATCAAAGAATTTAAAATGTATTGTTTACAAATTTTAGTAATTTTAATGTTCCAATGTGAAAACTTATAAGTAATGAAAGCTTATCCAGCAGGAAATCATAAAACTTTAATCACTATTAATTTGCATTTCAATGATTAATTGTTTAATTTCATCGGAAGCCTGAACTCCTATCGCTATAATTACCCGCTCTGTGTGTTTTTAAAGGTTCTACATTTAGAATGCATAGTCTAAGTACTTCTTTTTTGGAGTGTGAAACAATATTTATGTAAAATAGTATCTGAAGCAGCCAAAAAAAAAAAAACTCTTTAATTAAAAATAAAATACAGAACTGTGACAGTGTCGTTTGGATCGATAACTGGTTTGATGGACCTTAATTTTCTGTAAGTTGATACACCATCTCCAATTCCAAGCACATCTAGAAGAGAAACCTGAAATTGCCAGAATATGCATGTCAAAGCTAAAAAAAAATGTATCCCCAATAGCATGAAGAGAACATAGAGACATTATAGAATAAGTTCCAACCATGCCAACAGAAGATGGATCGAGCATACATGTATAAAAATTCAGAAAATAGAGCACACTTACAAAACCCATGACAAGTTTGAATTTTGCTAGAAACGCCATCTGCTGGTAAGGTTCTTCTGCTTCCGGTGGCATAGGTGTGTAGAGATGGTACGCCAGTCCCACCAGGGCCGCTGACAGAATAACCAAAAGGAACTTATATTTATCCATTTTTTTCCTGGAAGCAGAAAAGTCAGTAAGTAAATTAAGATAAAAATCACAATGAGAAAAAGAATGTAGCACTTTCTGAAAAAAGTGAAATGTAAATTGACATTGAAATTTGTGCCTGCGCATACACCAGCCATTCCAGAATTCGAACAGGTCAAAACAAATCATTCTCGATAAATGAACAACCTGCTTAACCACTAGACTAATCTCAACACAATGTTAAATCTTACGTACACTTCGGGACACTTCTTTTTTTCAATTATCAATTTTTTTTTAAAAAAATATGCCTCTCTAAAAGAAAAAAAATAGGAAATGAAAGTTTTGGAGAAAATTCCAACACAGTATGGTCATATCAATTTAATTCTGTTTCAAAGAGGCAATATTTTAAGTGATTCCCTATTTAAAAAGCACAAAATCTGTTAGATTATGCTTTGTGACTAATTCAATTTTCATTTAATCATTATATACATGTATTAGAAATCGATATGAAGTTTCACATTTTAATTCTAAATTGGGTAGTATATATCGTTATATCTGATTCATATTATCAATTTTTTAGGGGAAAAACACAGGAACAGCAGCACCATTTTTATTTTCTAATGTATAGCATGTTCAGGGGATACGACTTAAGTTAGTTTTTCTATAGTAAATATTATTTAGGGGGAGGGTGGGGTCGAACTGATTAATGATACAATTTTATTTCTCCCCCTCCCTCCCATGTTACCACATTTTATTAGAAGTTTCACTAAAACTCCACAAGTTGAAAATGTAAATAACAGTTTATTTAATAATACTTAGAGGGATTGTGTGTTTTATTTCACAGATTCGGCAACATTTTGATCCATTTTACATGAAAATTATCTTGAATCATTCCTTAGCTTCTGTTAAAAAGAAAAATAAACTAGCTGTATATACATACCCTACCTTTTTATTGCCTTCCCTAAGCGTCCTACATTTTGCACCTCAATCCATAGAAGAGACTGTGTATTACGTTGGCAATTTCTACCCCAATATTAATTTCCTATTTTGTTTACACGTTAGATTATCATGCGGAATATTCCTACAATGTAAATGTAGTATAACACTTTAGTATGGATTATTATAATATTAATAAATTGTAAGAGGTCATATCGTAAAAATAGTGTTTTACTTCCAAAGATAACTGGTTTAGCTAATCAAGTATTGACTCTCAGTCAACACACAATTCCTACTAGTAATCAAATACGGAAGCGTATAGGTGTCAACACTTGTTCTAACTTGTACATTGTCGTCTTGTCAACATTTAAGTATCATAATTTCTTAATTATACACTTATTTTACATTATATTTAGGTTTTTTTGCATAATTTAAAGCACCTCCTTTTATTGGATGCTATAAATTAAATGATGCTTTAAAAAATATTGATTTGAAAATATTGATCTAAACATAAACACTTTTGACCCCCCCCCCCCAACACAATAGTAGAATTTCTAAGAAATTCCAATTTCTGTAACCATGGCTACATTATTTGTCAATATGTACATGCCTTTACGTTGTCTACTTGTGTACCAAGACAGTTTGACTGAAATCAGACCAACTCTAAGAGGAAAAGCCTTTTAAAAGAATTTTTCAGAAATTGCTATTTTTAATACATACTGTTTTTGATACGTCGTTTGATTAAAAAAAAAGGATCTGTGTATCTTGATGCAGTCTGTTTTTGTCTGTCTCTGACCTGTGGGACTGAAGAAAACGCATTCATAGATTCTAAGACTTGCGATTTTTTTTTACCAGATTTCAATAAGACTAAGACAAATCCAATAATTTTTTACTCAATTTGTTATATCAATGACAAAGTTGTTCGCTAAACCTGTTCATTTGAATTCAGCCAGCAATACTGTTGTTCAAATAACTTATTTTTAAGCTTAAAATGAATCATCTGAAAATGATGAAATACTTAAAGTAGAAAGAGTTAGAAAGAAAAACCTAGTTTTGTGTCATGTATTAAATCAACATGATGATAGAGATTTTAATTTATTTTTGAAAGAGAGCGATATTGGGGGACGTTTACAGTCTTATTTTAATGAAACACATTCAAATGGTTTCAAAATTGATACATGTTTTAAGAATTATACGTTAAATTGTATCTGGTACTTAAGAATATGGAGAAAGGGGGATCATTCAGTGGAAACTGAGGCGTATTTTTGCACATGTATGTAAACAACGGGATCAGGCATTTTAAGACTGCTCATCACCATGCAACCAAGGCTGTACTAATATACTACATGTATATTCTATACTATATTCTATCACATTAAATTGCGTACGCTAATGCGGTGGGTATTTTCCGATTTACGTGTAGTTTGTATAAGCTTAAAAATATTTCTAAGCAATGCAGGGCATTATAAAACCTATTTTTGACTTATTTTTCCTGTACATCAGACTATTTCTATCAAGAAGAGCATTGTTTTCTAATAAAATGACTGACCACTTTTAAACTTTTAAATTGCGTCTCATTTGAAGTTCAAAATCTTGTACGTGAAAAGAAGAAAACTCTTGCTGTGGCCTTCAACTTGATATTTAGATATATCGACGACGTATTGTCAATTAACAATGGTTATTTCCATTCGTATGTCTATACGATATATCCCAGTGAGCTTGAAATAAAAGATACCACAGAGTCGGACACATCTGTTTCATATTTGAATATTTTACTAGAAAAAGACGTTAATGGTAATCTAACAACCAAGCTTTATTATTTATAAACGTGATGACTTTAACTTTTCAATCGTCAACTTCCCTTACTTATGCAGCAATATATCTTCATCGCCTGCGTATGGGATTTATATCTCTCAGTTGATTCGATACGCAAGAGCATGCTCTAGGTATGAACAATTTCTAAAACGAGGTAAGTTATTGACAAACAAGTTGATGAAACAAGAATATCAGCAGTCTATAAGTTCTATGGTCGATACAATGACCTTGTCAGCAAATACAATTTATAATTAAGTCAAATGCTAACTGACGTTTTTCATACTAATTGTTAGGCCATTATTTACACACTGAATTGTCGACGGATTTTTCCGTAATTACCCGATCATGACAAGGAGCACACGGCGGGTGTGACCGGTCTGCAGGGGATGCTCACTCCTCCTTGGCACCTGATCCCACCTCTGATGTTTTAGAGGTCTGTGTTTGCTCTGCTCCAAAATTTGTATTTTTAATGGACTTTTGAGATTGAATACTGTTCGTTATCTTTATACATTTCATATTGCTCGATCTCCCAGTCACTGTAGCCATAATCTCAAAAAACAGCCAAATATCAAGTCCAATTCTTGGCATCGGAAATCGGATTTTTTTAAATTTTATTTTGAATTATTGATATGATTTATTTAAACCAGAAACGCTTGAGATCCGATTGTCACCTGAGGTACATGCCTCTTTTTCTGACTTATTGTAAAAGTCGAGCCTAAAACTAAGAAGTTACTCTTATAGATAGTGATCTCGTAACAGATGTGACATTCGAACGACAGAGAGTTACCCTTCTTCCTTCTATTTGATACTGATGTTGTTTAACGTTCCATTAGAGAATTTTCCCGTTATATAGAGACATCACCTGCCTTAGGTGAAGTGCCACAAATTTTGACCTATGCGTGACGCTTATACGGCTATAGAAGTCAGGGATCCTTTTCCTCCAAAAGCCCACCATGACAGGATACCTTGGTTTTTATCGTAACATCCTAAAGACACAAAGAGGTTCGACGAGGCGCCGAGAACATGAAATAAACATGGGGCATCCCGATCACGCGGCTACTAGGCTACCACCATCAGTAATACTGAATAAAAATAATTATTGAAAAGTAAAATAAAATATACAGGCCAAATTTTTCCTCAAATTCAATTTTGTTGAAACTTTGAAATTTTGTTCTATTATACAAATTTCTCTTTATATGTAATTTGAAAGAAATTCAACCACCCGTTTTTTGCCCACATAGTTTAAAATATGGCCTATCAGACCCTTGTAATCAGACAGTCGACCTGAGAATGTGCATTATTTAAATATTACCAATCAATCTATTGCAAACTTGTGCGATGCTGTTTATAAAAGCAACCTTTTTGTTACAAAAATTCAGTAAAAAAAAAAAAAAAAAAAAAAAAAAAAAAAAAAAAAAAAAAAAACTAAAGAGTTAAAAGAAATTTTAAAATTAAGTATATTGATACTGATATATTTGAGTAAATTGTGATGTAAAAATAGAACGTACATATATAGCCTGGGAATTGAAAATTTTCATGTAAGTAAGGTACACTTTATGCCCTCTTAAGAAATATTGTATTATTCTTTTTTCTTTTTTCTTTTTTACAAAAAAATCAACAGAATAATTGAAATAGAACCCAGATTAAATGTGTCAAAATGAGGAAAATGGAAACGGTGGTTTCAGATATTTTGGGGATTGAAAATAAATCCAATGCAAAAATATTAAAAGAATCAGTAGATGACGTCACTATATTGACCTTTGACATCTTAATATGACCTTGGCCTTTATTGTACACAATAAATGGATTATGAATGGATCCAAAGTTACTGTGCATTTAATAACAGACGGTCATACGGCATGTAGATGGCATAAACACAATCCAAAATGTAGGCTCCCGAATGACCAGTATATAGGATGTCTCTAAATGTTTTTACATAACATTGCAAAAACATGTGGCAGCTTATTATTTTCATACAATGATCCTTGATTATTCACATTATAGTGACATTATTCTTTTTTTTCTCGTGTACTTTTTGAGAAATGAGTTAAAACAGATTTCTTGGGTGTTTTGCATGTTTTGTACTACCTTAATTTCTAAAATTGTGAAAGATCATCTGTATATACACCAATACAAAAGACCAAATTTATTCAAATCTAGACGGAGGATACTTAATCCGAGGGGGACTCGGGCAAGCATAGCGGACCATAAACATACTGTTTAAAATAGCTTTCGATCGTCAAAATATCAGTTTTACTACCAAAGCACGTTAC